TCAGCTTACCTACCTAGTTAGGTATGGGTTATTTCATCACTGCATGTAAGTAGGTACTTTTGGCCGGGTGAGTTTCCGACGGAGGGAGAAAACAAGAGACAGCGAGGGATATGGTATTGCTTCTTTTTTCATTTTTTTTCATTTGTTTCTCTGCGTCTTTATCTATCTCCCTTTTTTGTTTTTTCCTTATAGTTATGAGAGGGCGTCATGGGTGGAATTTGCTTTGGTATGGATTTGAACGATAGGCAGGAATTACTAGGATGAAGTATCATACTGTATCGCGTATCTTTACACAGGTAACACAGATACAGGCATTTTGGGACAGGGAAGGGGGGTTTGGTGGGCAGGCTGCTTCGATGTGCTCGAACTTAAGGAGTTAGTCCTCGAAGGAAAAGAAAAACCAGTCATCAGTTGTGATATGTCGTGCTCGATAACTTGATTCTCAGGACGACGCATGGCGATGATCGACTGGACTTAGCCTTCTAGTGCCGATGCATGGAAGCATTTTGAGTAAATCCTATGTCAGCTGCAAAGAGAGTGCCCGACAGCCAGCAGGACGCCGAGGCGTTGAAGCATAGATCCCTACAATACTGGACGGAAGGATTAGAAAGTTCGGCTCTTCCGCAGAGCCCACTAGGTTAGCCTCACCATGTTGAGCAACGTACGGATAGTGCTGACCCAAGCGAGGCTGGCTTTTTGGATCTGCTGGCGGACACAGCATGTGAAACCTGAGATCGAATGCTGGTGATTGAAACTCCAACCCCAAGAATGAGAGCCATCAGGGGCAACAAATAAATCCAGCACAAGCTCTCCCACCATTCATCGGGCCATATCCTATACCGTGCAATGTGGCTGGCTGGATCCCTCCCACGAGGATGGGCGATCCTCAAATGACATTGGCTAGCATACGCCAGAGCACGAAAGTGAGTTTCTGTCGTCCTCAGCTGTGCTCAGCAGGACTCAGCTCGCTCTGCTCTATGGGTCACAGTAGAGAAACAGAATAGGCCTCATCAGAACCAGATGACACATGCACTATGTGCAAGGTTGTGGAAGGTTTGCCTGGTAAGTGCGAAAGTACCTAAGCTGACCTCTGTCAGCCCTTGGCCAACTGGCACACCTTCCTGAATGTCCTGGTTCATTTTCCAAGGTAATGCGCAGCGCCGGGGCTCCAATAGCCTGAATCGTTATCCTGCACCAAAGTTGGTGGATCGGAAATATAATGGCAAAATGGTGCTGTTTCCACGGTGTTGTACCAGTACCGAAAGGTAAGGTATACAAAGCCACTAGCCATGGCATCATGTAGTTATATCACTTAAATAGAGAGCCCTAGGCAGTCTGTGCTCCCACGGTTCGTGTCCTCCGTGGCTGTTCTGATGTCATCAATCATGAAGATCCCCATGGGCCGAGTATTTGCTCGCAGCAAGTGATGGTGAGACACCGATTAAGACAGAAAGTGTATTGTTCCCCGAGAGTGCTAGTGGCGAATCCCATGCACTGGTCGACGAGGGCGAAACCAAGTTGATCAGTGGCCGGTTCAGTGAGGCACATACAATACTTGAAACGAACCGATCCCAACCCTGACAGCCAGAAAGAAAAAACGGTTAGAGGAACAAGAACAAGGACATTGATCCAAAATACTCACTTGTCCGACTGCATCGGTGCCTGTTCATGTTAAGTCCCCCGTGGAGGCAGCCATAATATTTTTTAAACTGTAAGGACTGGAACAATGCCAGCTACTAAATTTCTTAATAATATTCCACAGTGGTCGTGCTCAGGCCGACTCGACAAGCTTGGACAGGTACTAAGAAGGAAGGAAGATAGTCCATACAGTGGCTCCGGTCGTAAATACCGTACCTATGCTCTTGTTGTATTTTTGCATCCCCGGCAGAACTTTGGGTGGGAAAACGGGCGGACCTCCGATCCGAACCGTCAACTTGACGGGCCGAAAGTTCCAGCTGTCGTTGAATATCGTCCCAAGATTGTGCTCATGAAGAAACCTAATAATGGGAGTTTGGACGACCCTCACGGCGGAGAAATAATGAAATGGCTGCAGTGAGTTGCATCCAATATGTGAACAGGGAAGGAAGTAGAGTGATCCCTTTTCTCTCTCAGAAACGAGGCAATTCCTTCCCCCCCTGATCAAGGTAGCGTCCAAGCCACAGTCATGGAAATGAAAGTTTCGCTTGGGAGAGCTCAGGCCTCATCCTATGATCCTTGCTATGATCCAACTTTGCCACATCGGGTCATGAGCCCACTCATCAACACACGGACGCGTGTATGGAAGTCCCGTCCCGAAGATCCACGAATCCAACTCAAGCCAAAGAAAAAAAATGTCAGCAAGAGAAGGAAAAAATGCAGCCGCAGCCTTTTTCATCCGCAACCTGATCATACTGTGCTGGCAGATAAATTAAGGCGAGAATTGGCCCATTCTTGATGATTTGGCATGATCATGATCGCTCTTTCCCTTTCTAGATCGCTGGATTCTATGCTCACTGTACCTTTAGCAGATCTTGGGGCGATGATTGAACGAACAGGAAGACATCCTTCCCCGACACCCCCCTGTCAAGCTTGAGAGGAACGAGCTCCTTGGTGTCAGGAGTCTACTACTAGTAGTAATTAGGAGACGCAACGGAAGTATGACTGGGGTTTGGATATATACGTTGGAGCTAGACGGATCCTTCGAGCTGTTGCACCTGCAGAAATGGCGCAGATTTTATATGAAGGGACCACTTAACTCCCAAGTAGTATGGCCGTCGGATGGGTCGCAGACTAAAGAACTCGGCGCTTCAGTTCAAGGTGTCTCCCTTTTTTTTTTTTTTTTTTTTTCTTTCTTGCGCATTGAACCATGTTCTCAACCTTCCGTCAACACCTTTTGTTTTTTTCAGTTATATCCCCAGCAGAGGTCAAAATACTAGCTTCAGTTTTGGCGTTTGTTGCGGATGAAGTAGAAAATCATCCATGGCGTCATTGTGGAAATATTCTCCAAGGTGTTAGTAAGTACCAGGAGTCTAGAGCAACTGGGTACCTTTTCCCGAGGGAGGGCGACCAGGCTATTTACCCGGGTATACCAAGCAGTGCCTCACCTTTTTCCAACGAGATAGATAGTAATAAGAAGTAGTAGATAGATAGATAGATAGATATTACAAAGTGCCTGACTTGCGACTGCCACATTTCATGCTGGCATACCGTTGTAACCCAAACTTCCTTTATATCACATCTGCAAAACATTTAGGGTGGGAAGAAAAGAAATTAGTATGAATAAAAACAAAATCCAAGAAGAAAAAAAGGATGTAATTCCCCCCGTTTGACGATACACCTACACTATTCAGGTAATAGGTCTTAGCTTCCGAGGCGGTTGACCAGGTTGACCCAGGCAAGGTACCTCGTAACGCCTAAATTAGTGCCTGCCCACCTGATGATGATGCTGCTGATGATGATGCTTGTGATTCCACATTCTGATGGTTTATTACAATTACGACAAACCGCGAACTGTCGGAACTCCATACATCCATACAAAACCGGACAGACAGAACGTGACAAAAGTACACGGACCACTTCATATAATTCATGATTGGCTCGCGGGAACCAGGATAGCGACATCCGCGGGCTTTTCAGCAGCAGGTCGCCGCAAAGGGTAGGCGGATGCTATTGGCCCTGCCAGTCAGCAGCGGTACTTTTATTTAGCGCCCGTACTAGGTTTACCCCAGCGGCGAACCACCCGGTTGCCCTGTGGGATCCTCGCCTAGTAGTGGGGAGGGAGTACTTACTGGCTGCCCAGACGCCTCCGGTCTGCGGTATTGACAATGTTTACTTTCTCATGGCCCGAATTAGCACTTGTTTTGATGTATTTTATTTTCCTCTTTCCTTTTGTGTTTTTTCTTATGATACTCATTACTTTCCTTACCCCCCCTCCTCCTCTCACATTACGCCCATAACTTGTAACCAACAGAGTTAAGATTGAAAAATGCGTCTATTTCCCTAATTGGACAGGAGATCAATGACTTACTTTACTTCCCGAATGTTTCATTCCAAAGCTGCTGTCTTCTCCTGTTTGTTGGCATCGTTTGGTTGGAAGGAAAGGATCCAGATGGCCGGTCAGCCAACGTACATTACTCTTACTGACATGCATACCCCGTAGTACTAACTAACTAACCCGCTGCTGGCTCCTCGTCAATTAGTCTAATTATTTTTCCCATCAGCAACCAGAGAGTAATAGTTATGGTTGCTATTATTATTTAGTTGTGGTAGTATTATCATTTATTATTATTGCTGTCGCCATTACTACTCCTTATTTCTTTTCCACTGATTTTTCCGGACTAAGATTATCGCTATTGATTCTATCGCCTTGGCTGGCGGTGGTCGAACACTGTGACAACTCGACAGCACTTGACTTGACTTGACAGAACTGACAAGACTAACTAACTAACGACTACTTTTTTTTCTATTTTATTTTACTTACTTACATACTCTTTCGGTCTCGCTGAAATCCCCCGAACTATATCACCACCAATTCCCGCCCTCCGCAGAACACGATCTACTCCCACCAGCTAACTGCTAGTAAGACCGCGACCCTGTTTCGCGCCTGCTGCTGCTGCTGCTTCTTGCTGCTGCTGCTGCTTCTTGCTGCTGCCTTTGGCTTCATCAGCCTCCGCCGCTGCTAGCTAGTCTAGTTAACTACTTACTACTTACTACTCTTTCTGGTTACCCTGACACAATTCCCCCTCTCTTGACGACGTCTCTTCTCCGTACGGCTTTCTGTCTGCATAACCACTTCGCCCTCCTACTTCGCCTTTTTATCTTCGACCTTCTTATTTCCCTCAAGTTATCCATCTAGCCTCTCCACTTTCTACTCCTGTCATCCCTCTCTCTCTTTTCCTTACTCTCTTTTCAACTACTCTTCCCGATCTCTGCTGTGATATCGAGCTTCCGCCTAGCTGATTCGCACGTCCCGATCCATTTCAGAGTATGGTTGACGAGGAATTTCCAGTGACTAATTCATGATGGATGGTTCCATTCCGCCGCCGTCCACCACGACCACCTCCACCACCTCCTCCATCACTACCATTCCAACCTCTTCATCAACTGTTTTCCGACCCCGCAAATCAGAGGATTGGAATGAGTATCGCACGGCTATCGAGAGTCTCTACCGAGACAATCAGCTCAAGCTCCGTGATGTGAAGAGAATCATGGAGCGTGACTATAACTTTGTTGCATCGTACAGCCTCCATTTCTCTTATTTGCCATTCCTGCCCTGTTTCTTGCCTTTCCCACTCGCCCTCGTATTTGTCATTCTTCTCACTTATTGGCTTGCATCACCTGTCCCTCTGCAGCAATATGCTGTTTCTTCCTTTCACCACCAAAAGCGGAAGAAGAGGACAGTGCGTCATTGTTATTGATGTTGCTTTTTTTTTCTTCTATTTCCCTTCCCTTCCCCACTCCTGGACGAATCAGCTTGGTTATAGGCTTCCCCTGACATTCAAACTTTCTAGAGAAAAACAATACAAAGATCGCCTGGCTGCATGGCATGTCCGCAAGAATATCAAGGCCAAAGAAGTCCATGTCATGATCCGAAAGCAACAGAAACGAGCGGCTCGAGGCAAGCAAACAGGTTTTCGTGTTGCTGGGCAAGAAGTCGACTCCAAACGCATCTCACGCTTTGTCCGTAGATATGGATCGAACATGGAGGCCAATAATTCCCGCGAGGACCCTCCGCACAGTCCCCAGGGCCATCAGATCATCCAGCCCGTCCAGCCCGTCCAGCCGATCCAGGCAACAAGTCCCGAACCAGGTAGGATACTCCCAATCCGCCCCCAGTGCTGCAATTACTCATGTTAGTCGCCAGAAACTCCCTCCGATATGAGCTATTTTACCCCACCGCCAGAGGAACGAGCAATGACATTATCACCTTCAACAGAAACACCGTCACATTTCCGTGAGATTCCCCACCCCTCTGTTGATTTCTCTTGCTATTCTACTACATGCCCTGCCAGGTATTTTGTTGGTTTTTAGCAACATGTAGTCGGGATGGTGGAAGATTTAATTGACTAGATAACACAGATGACGATCCACCCGAACCAGTTCGTAATCCAGGAATTGGCAGCGCGCGATCTTTATCAGTCTCTTCCGGAACTATGACCAATGACATAACGAAACCAATGACTGACGGGGTCCAGGGACCAGATGGCTGGATGACCCTCGAGATGTTTCAGGAAAAGCTTTTGAAGCTTTCGAGGACTCTTGATCAATCAATGTCCCGATTTGTTCCTGCCGAGGATCGCAGCCACCAGCCCTCCAACTCTGACCAGCATTCTCGCTCAATCGGGCAGTGAGAAGGAGGAAGAAGAAGAAGAAGAAAAAGAAGAAGAAGAAGAACATCAACGTCCTTGGACGAAAACAAAGAAAGATCTTGGATATCTGTCAACATCCTTATACTCTGCTATATTCTGTTCTTTGGCAGGTTGAGTCGATTGCCTCCTTCTCCACTTGGTGTCCCCTCTGTAATATTCCACTTTATTTCCCTTTGTTTTTATTTCTTTCCTTCTCGTTTATTTATTTCACAGAGTGCCGACTATATAGAGCATCCATGGCTTGAATATATTGGGAAATCGGTATAATGTAGGTTGCGATACACCCTTAAGATGAAAGAAGATTGCGATATCATACGGTGACATCTGCGGTTTCTGGCTGTTGATGGTATAAACATTGTCTGACTTGTGACTCTAGTGACCTCAATACTACATCCTTCAGGGAGTGCAGCAAACCTTGCTCGGCGAATCCTTCGGCTCATACTACGATAGTCCGTTGATTGTGATCAAGGGAAGAATCCTGTTATGCACTACTGGACGTCGGTCGGTATCTGCAACTCGTGATTTCGACTGTTGCCACGGTCGGCCTTCCATCTGAGCACTCCCAATTGCAAGGCATGACCGGCAGTGCTCTCTATCGGATCAGCGGCTATAGTTCTCGCTCAATGTCTCAATATTGGTACCCGGTTCAACAAAGCATACTGATTACAAGCCAAGTGGATGAACATGGAGGAGGATGGCATAGCACATTCTGCGATGGAGTGAAACGCATAATCGCCCTCACGGTGCTTGGGCTCAATACGAAGGCTCACAAACTCTGGCATCAATTCCGATCGTCACATTATACCACAAGGCAAGCCATGCACTGATCCATCGCCGAGATTAGGAAACCGATTCTTGCTGTCTCCCAAAATGCAAGGATTCAGCAGATTGGTCATCCTTGCATTTTGTTTTATGGTTGGCTTTTCTGGTTTGATCATGCCAGCAAAGCATCCAAATATCGAGACAGCATGCAGAATTACTGGGACGGTCGATCGTCCTTGTTAAATTATCAATAAGTATAATTTGATATGCTAGCACCACGGTTGTCGATCCAGTGATGACAGAAGATATGACCCGATCGTGCATCACTCTATCTACCATGGTTGAGCACAGGGAACAGCGATCCGTGACGGGTCCGAATAGGGAGACATAAACAGTCAACGCACAGTGATTGGCCCCTGCATTTAGCTGTAGTGCAGTCGTGGTCGGACCATTACTTCTAGACCAAATCAACTTCTGGGCCAAGTTCTCCATACCCTGCTGTACCACTAACATAGATCAATCTTTCTATTTCGGGTCTCTTGAAGTGACTAGGGCCCGTGGACAGCAAGACCGGGGTCACAAAAGAGCATAGCCCGAAAAGGGAGAAGACTGGTAGTAACGAAAAAGCAAAGGCCCATAGAAGAACAAAAAGCAAGCGATTCTACAGGCCCAGGAAACGATATCCGCTACAGACACGGCCTGCCAAGAATGACCAATGGGAAGGCGAAAACAGGGGCTGATGTGAGATGATTGTCTCCGATGCGGCAGCCGAGCCCGACTAGCTACGATTTGGTACCAGTGAGCGCGTGCTCCTGGCCTAATTGCTGGGGCTGCTGAAAGTCGATGAATAGCAGCAGATCGGAGGGGCGAAGCGCATCGGTGGTTTTGGATTCTTGATGAGGCCCTCGCTGATCCTCAAGCCCGCGGACGCTAGCTCTCTTAGTCCCTGTCAGTCTATCAGAGTCAGTGCATAGACTAACTACTCGCTCATCCTCACTCTCTGCTCCCTCACAGGCTATGATATTAATAATGTCATTGGGGATATTTCAAATTACCCTTCACGTCGATAGCTCATTTGGCTCCTCCTGTGGCCCAAAATGAGGGGCCGTCATACTGATTTCCCGCAATCTAGAAGCATCAGCTTCCTATATCCATCTACCTTAATTTCGTTTTGATGTATTCTCATTGTCTACAGATCATCTACCAACCTGTACTAATGACTGGAATTACAAAGATGTACCTTCTCTCTATGATGTAGACAGCATGCCAAAAGTACGCATTGGGCCATTGGGCAGCAACTACACCAATTGAACACATGCCCTGATCCCTATTTACTCATCGAATTATTTGTATATTATTATTTAGTAACAGGCCAAATTAATCAATCTCCTCCTTCATTCCTCCCCTCCCCCCTCCTGCACCATTTGGACTAAACTCCGTGGATGCCTCACATCTGCACGATGATGTCAAGTCAGCTAAAGCCTCCGTACTTCCCGTCCTGCCCAGTAAGTAAGTAGTTAGCTAGCTAGCTTACTTAGTTCCTTCTTCCTTTCTACCACCACCACCACCGCAATAACGTCATAGGCAAGCGACAATAGACAGTACTAGTAGCTCCATAGAACCAGAACGTAACGGTAGATGGCTAGAGTTGTATGTATAATGCATAGGTAGGATAGCGTCTTTTCCATCTTTGCGCTCGCGGTATGCAAAATTACTAGCAGGTCAGGTCAGGTCAGGTCAGGTTAGGTTTCAGGTCCAGTAGGCGCAAAATGTTGATACAGTATGTATGTATGTATGTATCTAGCACGTTACTTGGTCTATCTACTCATTCAACTTGTAAAACATATGTATTAATGATTCTTCTTTGCCTGTCTACTAGAATGGGAGTGTAAGTATATCCTATAGATGGGTTATTGGGGTAATGCGGTGATTATGGATGGGTGGTCACAATAGATACTAAATAGATAAGAAGAATAGTGGTTACTTAGTTATTAGTAGTTACTGGGATAATGGATAGGGTGGGTTACTACTAGTACTGCTACTAGGTCATAGCGACTGAATGTACACTCTGGACTTGGTGGTTGTTGATGGGAACGGGGTTGGTTGTTGACTACTACGTCTTATGCTCATTTATATCGATTAGTTAGTAGTAAGTGGGTGAGCCCCCTCGGTGAATGGATAAGGACTACGTAGTAGTAGGTACCATGAACTTACTAATTGAAGAACTACTATGCATGTTGGATTGGATAGGTAGTGAGCACGTAGGCCACATGTCAATTTACTTCTTACAATCAACCGAGGGGGAAAAGTAAAAATACTAGATAGATAGTAGATGATGAATATACTATATTTCGTTCCCGCTGCATGAGATAACCATATAGGTAAGAGAGAAAAGGGAGGGAAGAGAGAGAAAAAAGAAAAAAAGAAAGAAAATTTAAAGGAGATCTTTCTTTTTTTGCGCTGAAACAAACATGCACCGGAAAATGATGACTCAATCCCTCGAAGAGAATAAGAAAGTAGAACAAAAAAAAAAGGAAACATGCCCATATACCAGGTACCCAACGCTAGACAATCCAAATCCGGGTAATCCGGCGACAATAACAATAAGGGACAAAAAAGAAAAGAAGAAGAAAAAAGTAATGGTAATAAGTCATCATCAGGCGGTCAACCTAGGTCCTGCCACGTGCTTCGCGTGGTTCGTAACATACAGACATGCATGCATGCATGCAGTCAAGCTGGGGTGTGTGGGTGAGTGTGTGCGTTTCGGAAATGTAACTATGAGACTATAGATAGGTATATAAGGGGCGCACAGATGAGGGAGATGGGTGGGTGCATGACGCTCATGAGTAAAAAGCGCTCTTCTGGAAGCTCTCGGGCGAAATATCACCCATCTTGCCCTTCAATTCGGGCTTCTTAGCCTCCGCGGCAATCTCCTCGGCCGCGCTCGCCTGCATCGAGTTGGTGCGACTGCCGGCTTCGCTGCCCGAGGTGATCGCTTGCTGTTGCGGGCGGCGCTGGATGGTCTCCAGGTACGGCCCGGGCAAGTAACCGACGCGGCCATCACGAGCACGGCAACGCCACCACTCCGAGGCATTACCCATCGGATCGGATTTACTAAGGACAGCGACGATGTCGCCCTTCTTCACGGCCAGGTCGATGCCGGAGCTCTCCTGGGCTTCAGGGGTGTAATCGTAGAGCACACGGCAGAAGTCAAGCTTGGAAGGGTCGAGCGGTGCACCCTGACCCTGCACGGGCTCCCCGTTCGGACCCAGCATCAGCTGGCGACGTTCCTCTTGCGACCGAGCAAGAGCCTTGATCAGCTTGCCCATCAAGTAGGGAAGACCGAAGACGGCGATAAGGAACATGAAGAACGGCTTCTTGGAGGGCTTGGGGGGAGCGGGAGAGCCATCCGGCAGGGTGGCGGGGGAGGAGCGGCCGCTGAGGAATGCTGCAAAGGCGGACGGAGTGAGGGCGGTGGCATCAGCCGGCGGGGGACGACCGGTGATCTTCGCGATCAAGGTCTTGAACCAGCGGATGATGGTGAAGATACCGAGGGCGGAGCCAAGCGTGTTTCGGAGATTGCCGAACTGCTCTGCTACGGAGACCATGGCTGGACCACTGTTAGTGCAAGGACAACAACACGTAGAGATAAAGGTATTGACGTACCAAAGAAAGAGCTGTGAGTTGCCATGTAAGTGCTCTCCAGCATTTGAGCGAATCCTCCAAACGCACCCACGATACTCTCAATCATCTGAAACGTAGCTTGGGTGCTTTGGCTGAAGGAATTCGTCAGGCTGTTGGGATCGTTGGGATCACCGGGCATCCCGCCGTACATCCCTCCCATGCCTCCCATACCACCATACATGCCGCCATAGCCTCCCATGCCGCCGTAGCCTCCGTACATGGAGCCCATGGTGCCGAAGCGGGAGTACGGCGACGAGTAGCTTCCGTAGCCGCCGTAAGGACTTGCGCCGAACCGGGAGGCGGAGTAGGGAGAATAATTGGAGGCGGTGCGATTGACAACGGAATTCAGGGAATTAGGACGAGACGGTAAATCGGGAGCAGTAGATGTCGAGGATGCTGTGGCTGTGGGGGCCGAGGCGCTGGCGGCCGCGGTCGGAGTAGTCGAACTGGCCGTCATCGCGGATGAGGCGGTCGGAGTAGCCGCCGATGATGTTGTCAAAGCAGGAGACCCTTCAAGTGAGTGACATGTCAGCTACCCCGTATGCGGACAGATGCAAATGTGATTTATTGTTGTATTGTGTTCCAAGAGAGCTGTGGACATACCAGCAGCAGCGCCTGCCCTCTCCCACGGTTTGGGTGGCGAAACGGACGCCATGGATATGCGGGAGGGGTTTGGTACCTCAGCAATCTCGCATGGAGATGGACCTCACAGAGGAGGCCAGTCAAAGCGAGAGCGAGAGCGAGAGAAGGTGGGAATAGCGCGAAAAAAGGATTAGGGGGGTTGGGGGTGAGAGTAGTCTGGGGAAGAAGAGAGGGGAAAGGAGAGGAGTAAGAGACAGCCCGGGCGACAGATTGGATGGATTGGATGGACTGGATGTGATGAATGAATGAATGAGAGGCGATGGATGGCGATGGAGATGGAGGCGGTGGAGAAAAAGCCAGAAAAGAGGAGAAAAGGTCGCATGTGGTCCCGATGGACCGAGGCTTCCCGCTTGCCGAGTTAAGTCCCCGGTGATGATTAGTTACCACTTATCTATCTCTAAGTAGTTAGATTAATTCTCAGTGAATAGTTACTTATCTATCGAGTGGGATATCATATTTGCTGTCCAAATTATCTGAATGTAATATGTCACCATCAAATGCTCAGGCCCATTGCTTGGAAAATGAAAATGTACAGCGGCCTAAATGCTCCCAGAACTCCCGAGATGCGATTTCCCAACAGGCATCGTCAACAACGCCGGCCCAAACAGATCGGAAAAAGATTAGTCCTCCACGACGCTAGTTATACAATACAATCCCAGTCACCGCCATCTTCCACGTCTCCCAACTTCTAGTGTCTAAAGCTCCTCATGGGTCGGGGGTGTCGGAGGGGTGGGTCGCTTGGGGAGCTGGATCCTCCAGGACCGTGGTGGCACAGGCAGACCCAGCCAGTAGTTCCATACCCGAGCGATTTCCAGAACGGCAATTTCAAAGCTGCAACGCCTAGTCAGTATACAGAGAGAACAGCGAATGGGCGCCATCACTTACAATGTCTTCGGTGCATTGACCCAGCTCTTCAGCACGTAGACGAGAATGTCCCCGATCATAGAGAGCTCGGCCTTCATGTCGTCCCAGGCCGTGTCCGTGTCGCGGCGTACTCGAACCTTCTCCCACGGAAGCTTCTCGGTGATGTACACAAAGTTGTCATCATCGCCATCCTCGTAGTAGAAGGTCGAGCCACCGTCCTTGAGAAGTCGTCGGGTCTTCTTCTTGCCACTGCGATCCTTGGATGAAATGCTCGCGGGGATGGTGAAGACCTCCCCATCGCCCACATCCATGGCCCGGTGGAAACTTCGGACGGCCGCAATGCTGTGAGAAATGCGACCAAGGGTGTTGATCAGTGCCACCAGCTCAGTCCGGCGCAGCAACGGGTTCTCGCCGTTCTTGGTCTCATCGTACTCAAACAACACCTTCAGAGCGGTGCCATATCCATTGACTTGAAGCTTGCCCCAGAGGCGGCATTTATCGCATCCGACACAGTCCATCAGGCGACTGACGTTGCGGAATCGGTTGCGGAAGTCTTCCTTCAAGCCAGCAGCGCTGGGGTCCTGGAACATGAGGTTCTCGTCGAAAATCTGGGGGCGATCAGCCAAGGTCGAAGTCAACTTGGAGACCTTCTCCCTAGTCATGGCATCCTGGATCGGATCACTGACGCAGTAGTTGTAGTTGTGTAGGTGTTTCTGCAACTTCGCCACGGCGCGCGAGACCAGCGCGTAGTTGAAGTACAGGTTCGAAATGCGCTCGGGGTGATCGTGGAGGCGATCTTTGAAACATTGAAGGTTGGGATGCCATTGCCCCGTCGTCTGATTGAGGTAATCCCAGCAAAGGTGGGTCGAGATAGACGCATGCATTCCACTGATGAGACGATGGAACACGCGCTTCTCGAGACACTCATTGTCCAAGGGAAGCAGGTCGGGGCGCTTCAGCTCCTGCTGAAGCACATGACGGAAATCGTTGACCGCTTGAAGACCACCCAGCTGAGGGGTCACAGGTGACAGCTCTGGCACCGGTTTGAGGAAGCAATTCTCCCGATAGATTGCGTCCCAAACCTGGTGAGCGCCCATACCGGCGTACCCCGTGAACCGCTCTGGATTATCAACGAGACTGACATAGTCTCCCTTGCCGCTAGCACCCTCGTCTTCGGGAACACAGTAGTCCCGTTCGTCACATTCATCATCATACTCCACGACACAACTCTCTTTAACATTTTCACCTAGCATTCCCTGGAGCGGTCGATTAAGAGGTCGCTCCTTTCGCTGATTGCGGCCCGGATGGCCTGCTTTGGGTCCCTCGAGTTTACTAAGCTCCTCCGCGCGCCATGTTAACGGGATGTCGTCCTCGGACTCGATTGTGTTGACGGAGCATGCGATATTCCCGCACATGCTATTCGCATCGTTCCAGAACGGACAGACTTTGTTGAAGAGGTTTAGACGGTAGTACGAAAAGAAATCGGTATCTTGCGTAATGGATTGGAGGAGGGTGTAGACTTGATCGTTCAGATGATCGATGGTGGCGTAGGAGACACAAGCGTCGGACACCATAGCAGTGGGGTCAATCTGATAGAGATGAGAAGGGATCAGCCAAGTCTGGTCTTCAATATGCAGCCAAAGCGCATGCCTGAGCGTTGTATCGACTTACCGCACACTTGTCCTGGTTATGGTGCAGCCCAGTCTCGGCATTGGAAAGCCTCGACAGGGCAAATACTGCCAAATAAAAAAATTTGGCTGCGGAGCGCATCTTGGGATGGCCGGAGGCCGGCGGAAACGAGTGGAGAAGAACGTAGGAAAGGATCGGAGTGTATGACAGAAACCGAGAGTGTATAGAGTGTATAGAGTGAAGCTATGCAATGAAGGTTATGGTAGGTAAGCCAAGAAGCAGGGTCCTTCACATGAAGATCAGCGACGGAAGGGAGGCCTGGATTGTCAATGTCAACGGTCAATCGCGATCAGGCCAAATGACATTTCCCTGCACAATAGGTGATGCAGTTCCAACTGCAGCAAAAGGAAGCAAAAACGAATGATGGGAATAAAGAAGCAGGTGGAACGAGGGGACTTGAGTATTCAAGGAATGTCCGTTGCGAAGTGGACAAGTTGTCCTTGGTGGCGCGGAGTTGCATGATCCGCAAGTAGTCATCAATAGTCATCAAATCAATTCCATCTCCGCCGGCTTATCGCCGCCAAAAAAAACCCTTGTTTCAGACAGCTCCCCACTGCGATGATCCACGGTAGTCTAGATGTATCTCTCTATACCTACCCTATAGAAAGTGTTGACAAATCGACTTTCTGTCGTTGTTCTCTTTGTTGTTATATTGGGGGATTGGCTCGGTACTTCACAAGGATTTCAATATAGTGTGGTTTATTCAGCGATCGCAACTCGCAATGTTAATGTCCTTGAATCAGCTGACAGGTTGGAATAACGAGATCAAGATCATGCTGTCGCATGGCCGTGTTGGTAAGATTAAGGGGCGTCAGGAGCGACTTGGAGTGCTATAACGGTCATGGTACATGTTGATGCCACGCTGCTCAGGCTGTTAGTAACTTCCAGAGTGAAATCACTTATCGGTTTAGTTACTTTCATTAATTCGCTGAGTAAATATACAGACTGATAAGGGATTAATTATTAGTAGGTCGAGTAACTATGCCATGCGCTTTGACGTGAAGTCATACAGGTTCCGCAGGCCCTAGGACATGTCAGATGCATGTCTCGCAGGTTACTTGTTACAGATAGGAGTATGAGTAGTATATTTAGTAGTGTGCGATACAACACACTGGATGAATTGTTACGCTAACGCGGCTCCGTAGTATGGTGGACAAATAACTACGCTGTATGCACTCTACAGTGTTTGTCGAGCAGTGGCAGATTGTAGATCGTCAAATTTGACTGTCAGACAGCAGAAGTAAAAACAGCCATGGATATTCCCAATTCAAACCCATCAAAAGGGCTGTAGCAACCATGAACGCCTCCCACCGTGATACTCCAGGCTTCAACTCCGAGCGTGACACATCATGTCATACCGTAATCACCGAGGTCATGACCGGTGTAGCAGGGGAATCATGGTAAAATACATAATAGAAAGAAACGCTCCAAAAATCATCAAAACCCAACACCAACTCTCGCAGCTCTATCAGGGAGACTGCGGTCTTATAGACGAACCAACCACAAATGCATGTTGTAGTGCGGCCGTATACAAAAAGTCCAAATGAATTTGTTTAAGAACTTGTCTAAGAAGTTCCGCTGCGCTTGCGACGACGGATACTGAGCGCTTTCCGGAGCGAGGCGAATGGCTTGGGGTGGGGTGTATTGTAAAAGGGGTCCTTTTTGAAATCCTCATCGGTGAATTTCTAGAAGGATGTTAGAGCCTGTTGCAAACCAGTGCACAGCAAATCAGGAACTTACTTGACCGGGACAACGCATAAAGTTTCCATAGTCGTTCATCATGTTCGGCCCCTCCTCGTATTCGTAGGTGCGGCCCTCCATGTCTGTGTGACCTGGAGGGTAATAAGCCACACCGTCCAGAGGACGGTGACTATCGATGCAGTCCCTAATTTTATCTTTCGGAGTTGCCTTCAAGGTCTCGGCAGTTGAATCTTTGACTGCCTCGACGGGGCTCTGCTTGGTGTGGTAGTTCCTCTCCGCATAGACGGCATCGTAGGGCCCCTCGTGATGGTACTGGCAGAGACTCGCGCTGTCCAGACGATCAATAACGTCTGGATTGACCAGCATCGAGTTCCTCGAGTATCTGGCCGGCTGAGGGTTCGACGGGCTGCCATGACGACGGCGCCGAGAACTACTCTCCTTCTTCCGTCGAGGCTCGACGGGATGATGCTCCGGAGAGCCCGAATAGTAGACGGAGGGGAAAGACGTAGAGCGCTGACGGTTCAAGGACCGCCGACTGGGAGAGGGAGAGTGGAAGCGTTGGTAGGATCCATACGAATCCATTTCAACGCCCATGTCCATCAGGTTGGGAGCATACCGAGGGGCATAAGAGGCCCGGTATGGGGTCGCACAGGCTGGGAGAACGGCGGACGCCATAGTAACTGGACGCCGGAGGAAGAAGTAAAAACACGAAGGGGGAGAGAAATGGAGGGAGAGGATGCCTCTCAAAGTGGGAGGATAAAGAGTTAGGTATATATAGGGACAACGGGATGCCCTATAAATGTATGTAGGCGTTTAATAGTATTGCCTACTAGTGACTGCCTGCGTCCGCAGCCCGTAACTCAAAAGAGTGGTGGGGCTTAGCAGCGGTGAAGTCGGGTATTGATTATAGAGTTGGGGAGTAACGTTGAAGCTGCGGTCTGTGTGGTTATGAGTGTGGCAGAGTAGGTTTGGAAGTATGAGAGTAAGTAGTATAAGTTGGTTTGCAAGGTAGTGGTTGCTAGATGGGAGTAGTAGGAAGAAGTATGAAGAGAACAAGAGAAAGAGGACAAGACAGAGAGTAAAAGAGGCGAGAAGAGCAGAGGGGGGAGTCATAATTCATCATGATTATTTAGGCTCTGGTCATCGCTGGTCATGCAAGTGCAAAGCCGAACCGGTGGACCGTGACGTGACGAGTAGCGCCGCATTGCTTTTCCATTTGCTCACTTTTGCTTCCACGCGATCCGGGGGTGGATTTGTACTATTACGCCTTATCGATAAGGCTCTACTAGAGTCTACTACAAACGAGTACGTACGGTCAAGACTAGACCGGTTCGGTTGCATCGGATGTCCTCTTCGATGATGAAAATACCTGACCAACATCTCCTGTTGTCGAGTCTTAGTTAGTACTAGTACTTTGCACTGAATGCCCTCATTCTGTAGGTGCGCGGAAGGCTCGGGCCCCAGGGCACTTCCCCTCCGCCCCTCCCGGTTCTAGACTTGAAGAACCAGTCAGGATGGCCCAGGCTGATATTAGTAAATCACCATGGAACCTCTAGAAGGTCCCTGAGGGATTCTAGTGGAGTCGCAGTGGCAATTCTCACCGTCATGATTGTCGTGTCGTCGTCAGCTGTGGATGCCCAGGGCCACCATCCACCGGCTGACTAAATCATTTGCACCAACTTCCTCTGCAATTGGAGTCTTGACATCATAACCACCAGACTACCCAACCCCAACTGACTGCGACATCCTGCGAATCCCTTCTGACATTCAATTTTACATCATTATTTAGAAGAAACAGGTTGAGTATCTTAACGAGAGGTGTACGGACTTGATTATTTTATTGAGTTAACTAGTGACCTACGGAATAATACCCACTAAGCTGAGTGAGCTCCAGCTCCGTCTTTAAGCTTATCTTTAGTGACCACGATAGCGCCAACGGCGGGCTGGATCTAGCCCTGCTAGGCTTGAAACAAGTTTTGGTTTGCGACTAAAAAGCACGCGCCAGTATTAACATCTGCATGCTTCTGACAGGCGCTTCTACGAATTGCTTGTTACACACTCATCCACGCACAAAGTAATTTGATGGTCCGCATCGCATGTCAGCCTGCGACGGTCTGCATAGGCGACCCAGTGCATGGCGAATGTGTTACACAGGGTCTAGATTTGTCCTACGAACCCTCAGGGACTAGAATTATTGCAGGCTTATAATTAGAAACGAGCCAGGTGTAATGGACGCATATAGCCAGGTACATTCGGTCTACTTGCTCTGCCTGTCAGGGGGCTGAGGTCCATCCATGGATAGGGGCCCCAACCCTTACGAGGTGACATGGATAATGCGAACAAGCTTCGACGTAATCCATCAAATTTGTGCCCATACCCCTGCTGCTACGGAGTCTTCTGGGCAATAATTGATGCTAAGAAACTAAAAGTCGATGAAGTATCTCGCTATTGTCCTCGCTCACTTTGTGATCCTTGTGCTCCAATCCTTGTTGACCTCTGCTGAGACAGTAAGACGGACGCCTCAACATACAGAGTAGACATTCGAAGCCACCATAAAAGTAATCGAGGCAAAAAAACGGTCATCTCACAACAGATCATTCTTCTCACATAATCGAAACCATGATGTGTTCTGTTCATCTGTTAAAAAAAGTCCACTCCAATCTAGAACCTCTTCCAGCTCCCACTGGCGAGTCTTGGCAGCCCTACCCGTAAAAGGCAGAGTTTCAATACGGACAGCCCGGCTCCACCATGCCGACCCGATGGAACAACAATTTACTACTCCAACTGCGGCCACCAATTTCATCCTGGATGTCCACTTCCAACCAATGTCCCTGACCCTGTAATGGCTTTGGTGCAATATTCTGAATCAGAATCCGAAGCAGAGAACGAGCCCCCTCAGCCCCCAGCAAAAAGGCCTCGTCAAGCCGCCAACAATCCAACTTCCTCACTCCCACCATTACCAGCCGCTTTTCACGATCTCTATGCCTCCAGCACTCGTGTCAGCGTGACCGACGACCCCAGTCTCCACGGAGGCCGAAAAAGGGTCATTCCCCATGTTGAAGGGAACTGGCCGACCCACATCTACTTGGAGTGTATGTGTCATCCATCATCACCACCAGCACCCTCTGGCAGTAGTTAGATTCTCGAGAACGGAAATAACACCCGTTTGACCAATTTACAGGGTATCCATCCAAAGATGAGCTTTCTATTCTTAGCGATGTCATAGCGCAGATCAAGGATAGGCTCGATGAAAGCACGATACAGCTCCACAGCCTACTACATAGTGATCTTGGCGCGCAACTGCCCCTCCACATTAGTCTGTCTAGACCGGTCGTGCTACGGACAGAACAGCGACAGTCCTTCTTGGACATTTTCCAGTCTCAGCTGAAAGAGTCGCAAATTCCAACGTAAGTAGCTGGCTTGCTTGTTTTCTTGGGACTATTATTTTTCTGATCGATCAATCCATCATGCTGACAAGCTGTGCAAGGTTCAACGTCTCGACAAATAGCCTCGACTGTGTCTCAAATTATGAGAAGACGCGGTGGTTCTATGTCTTACGTGCGGAAAAGCCAGAGGAAGATAATCTGAATCGTCTTCTTCGGCTGTCTAATCGAGCCCTGGCGCGGTTTGAACAGCCTCCGCTATACGAGTCGTCGCAGGATGTGGCGGCTGAGCGGAAGTCAAATGGTGGTGGTACGACACTGCCACGGGTGTCGAGCGAGTCTGGCCAGTCTGGAGCTGATTACTCTCACTGCTTCCATATCTCGTTGGCATGGAGCTTGACGGGTCTGTCGTCTGCAGAGAGGGAGCTGATCGGAGGTGTGGATTTGCGTAGGGTACATGACTTGGCTGTGCGGTTTGATTGTGTCAAGGTGAAAATTGGGAATCATGTTTCTAGTATACCGCTGCAGTAGATGATGAAGTGTGTTTAGACATAGAGTTGTACATAGAAGCATTTGCTAGGAATACTGTGGTTGGTGGATGGGTAAACATTGGCGCTGACTCTTTAAGCGATACTCATCTTCTAGTATATCAGGGACCAGATCGGTTACTGGTTATACTAGCTTCCAGATTCATATTACTCCACACGGTGTAACTCATATATATCGGCTATTCTCATACTACTAGATTTCTCATGATAGATCCAATGAACATCGGAGTGCATAACTTCGTCACATACTAATCTCGATAATTGCACCCCATGAGAAACATTGTAGCTTAAGCCGTGGGTGTGAAATGTCATTTCAACTCTACCTCACTGAACCAGCATAAATATACTCTTCACCTGTATCAACGACAGCATAGCATATTGACACCACCACAAAGTCCCTGAAATGAGCACACCTCCAGCTACAAAACATTTATACGAGCACCAACTAGACACCATATCCTGAAGCAGCTAGTATTTAATGGTCTATCTGTCGAGTAAGATGATAATACTACTACTATCTAGTAGTATTTAAGACACAATATATATTCCACTAACGGCAATACCCAAATAAAACCTGCCCTCTTTGATTGCTCAATACAACCACCATACCTTTCAACCATTAAGCATTGTAACTAAGAACAGAAGCACCCACTTTACCAACAATAGTCTCAGATACTATCTCCCCTGTAAATTTCATACTGTGTAGATTATAAGCACACCAGCATAACCACCCGTAATATTCACCCGTCCCATACAATACAATACATCCCGCCCAAGGCACGTCACAAACCGCTAACCCACACCAACACACGCGTAGCTCAGCTTAGCTTAGCTAGCTATCTTCTTCATCCTCAATTTCAGCTTTAATCCCCTCCTCCCCCTTACCCAACAGCAAAAATCATCCCACAACCTCCAAAATGTCCCTAATCACCCCACCACCCATCACCATCGTACGTTATCCTCCACCAGCCTATAACCCCCAAGAAAAACCAAATGTGCAAGTACCTAACCCCCACAGGAAGACCTCCACGCTTTCCAAGCAAAACACTTCCCGGGGAGTGTCATCGCCCAGACACCACAGCCACAAAATGTGACGAATACCAACATTTCCGAAGAATACACCTTGGAAGAAGAAGAGTATGAATACTACGACGAAGAAGAAGACCTAGGCTACTACCCCGACGGCGTGAAACGCACCCTCACGGACGAACAAATCCGCATATTCAGACATAGTGAGATCCATGCGTTAAGGAGGGAGAAGGAGTTACGGGAGGAGGAGGCGGCGGATGCTGCTGCTGCTGCTGCTGCGGATCGTGCCGTAGCTGCAAATGCGGATGCGAACGCAAAGACCGATGCAGTTGGTACAGAACAAGCGAGCAAGTCTCGGGCAGAAGGGGAAGAAGACGTGGATGTGAAGATGGATTATGGAGAGGGGGAGGGGGGTGCGTCTGCTTCGAAGGCGACTTCGAAGACGACTTCTAGGCCTGTGCCGCAGTTTACGGGCAGGAGGATCATTTCGTATGATGATTGAAGTTGAAATTGATGAGAGGATGGGAGTTAAGGTGGTTTTTATGTGACTGCCGTCTAACTATTTGCCTGCCAGTCTGCCTGCATGCCTGCCTAGGTATATGTGCTGCGGTTAGCCGTTCTGGTCTTCTGCGCCCTGCAGGAGACACTGTCGACATCTGTGTTCGAGACCCAAGGTGCTTTGCATGCACACCAGCATGATTTCTGACATGGTAAGTTTACTTTACACTGCTTGTTTGCTTTCTTGCTATTCTGCTTCCCACATGATGAAAACATCGTATCAGTCATCCTTAGTCGGAGCGCCATACCATCTGCGGATGTGTAAGGCTATGTCGACTTAAATCTTCTCTCTGAACTTACTTGATATTGCTGCTTGTTGGACTTGATTCATATTCTAAGATCCGCTGCTAATTGTCTTATTGGCTAGTGCTTTTTTTGATGAAGCAAGAACAAATGATGATTAATCATTATATGCATCGACGGTGCAAACACCTTGCATATGGGTGTGCGACTTGCCATCTATGTTGTGGTCCAGACGCACGCCTAGAGAGGGTGCTTGAACGATCAGCTTCGAAGTGAAGCTGCCTCTTGACTTCATTGAGAGCATGATACTCGTGATGTTCATGGAAGCAGAATATCTTCATCAAACCACATCGGTCCAAGGATCGAAATGTTATCTATCAACATAGCGTAACTACCGATGCGTAGGCTACAGCGCCGCATCTCAAATGTAGCGCCAATATGGCCTTCCTACATCTACTCAAAGCGTGATTGGTCTCTGTCTAGGGACCAAGCACCAGAAAAAGGCAATTCCAATGAGCAGCCCCAGCATGATAGGCTGCAAGACCTGGACGCCGGCCTGGGAGGCCACTGCTCCCGTTAGGAAAGGGAATGCAGCGGACCCTGCCTGTCCAAGACTGGCAGTGAAACCTGGTGATGGTCAGCATGAGCAACTTCACATTCAAATGCCAGCTACTTACCCATTGCTCCCACGTGAAGTTCTTTTGGGATGACCTTAGTGAGGACATAGAGTCCAACTGGGTAGAAAGGACCGATAAAGAAGCCTGGTGCCTATAATTAGCAGCGTTTTCAACAGCGGCGTATTTTGTCTCGCATTTGTGCTGGAATGGAGCATACTCACCCAGGAAACACACTGTGACTGCATTGATAGTGATGTCTGGGACTAGCCAGAACAAAAGCTGCATCGCCACAGCCAACGCGGTATAAACGAACACCATGCGCCGTTCACCCAAGCGATGCGTGACATCCGCTAAAGCAACACGGCCCAAGGTAAATCCGGTCCAGAAGCCGGACGCAATATATCCTACTTTGGTAGGGTCGCCATTTCTTACCGAAACAAGGAACTGCACAAGCCAACCTGAAACATGTCAGCAAGGAGCTGCCTCCAGTCATGGAAGAACGTACCTCCAGCAGTCACCTCCGCGCCAACGTACAAAAAGAAGAAGCCGTTGAATATCCACACAGTCTTGTTTGACACTGTTTCTCGAAGCTCCTTGCCGGCCGTCTCTTTCGCATTGCTCACATTCGGACGGAAGAGCCCCTTTCTGAAGGTCCAGACCAGAGATGTGATGTTTAGTACGCCGAGCAACATGGTCACAAGGTAGTAATGATGCCAGACTGGCATTCTCGAGGCAATCGTATTGGCGATCAATGGAGCGAGGATGGTTCCGACGCCATACACGGCATGCAAAACGCCCAGCCACCGATGGGCGTCCTTGACAGTTATAGTGAACATATTCATTTGCGCGTCTTGGAACGCTACGCCGCAACCAGTGAAGAAGAATGCTGCCACGAAAAGGGGGAAAGGCGGACTCCAGAACATCAAGACATAGCCGAGACACTGAATGGTTGCGCCCAGAACCAGGGTACCGCCCGTTCCTATATGAGAACAAACATGGATATTGGCGAATGAGGCGACAACCCAACCCACAAAGTTGACCAGGTAGATGATGGACACTTGCAGAAGACCAACATCATAAGTTGGTTGTATGTACGGAATCAGAGGGCCCAACGCAGCATCTTTATTGTCGACCCATTCGACTGTCAGCTTCGGTTTGCTATCGCAAGCGAGTTAGTGGGGGCGGGGCAATGTACCGTTCAGCCCAGCCATCAATGCGGCAAAGTTGGTACTGAGAATCTTGCTTTTGACATCTCCTACATCCTTGGGAAGGAGGAACGTAGACTCATCAGCCGGAGTGGTTTCATCCTGAGCGTAGTTGCCATGTCCAGCTTCTCTGTGGTCGCCCATATTGTTGATTGACTGGATTGATGAGTCGCTTTGAGAAGGACAGCCGCGCACTGGAGTGACCAGTTACTTATATACGAGAGAAAGAAACCGTAATCCTTGGCAGCAGCAACTAGCTCCACTGTCGCTTAGCTCTATAGCAGGTAATCGCGGCTACCTAACAAACAACCCCAGTTGAGGTGATGCTTGATGGTGGGGTAAACCCGAAGTTCAAGCGAGGTGTGGCAGCTTGCCTCTCTATCTGTCGGTGAGAAACACATGTGGATCTTGGGGTCTAGCCCACCACTCCAATTTGTGCTTAAGGACTCGCATCGTGCAGACCAGAGTCAAAACTGCAATGAGACTGGCGAGAGTCGAGTCAGGTGGACGAGCGGGCAATTGGCGTCTTGTTTTGCCGTTTTGGGAAGGTCTGCCAGCTGCTTACTCATGGTCGCCATGCTGGAAGATTAGCGCCTGGAAGGACCTTCCTGGTGTTGAGTTGGTTATCGGGGACTCGGGCCGAGGGGGCGTGGAAACACTTGATGCTGAGATGTTGGTATCTAGTAACTGCAATCAGTTAGCTATCGAGCTCTCAAGATGATAAGGTATAGCCCAAACATAGGGGTGAATCTGGCTTAACACTACTACTGCTAGTCCATATTCATAACATATCATCAAGGCTAAGTCACCTTCATCTATTCGTCAAAGGGAAAGAGTGAGGTGGGATAAGTCTTTCAAAACCCAGGCCGGAACATTGAAACACTCGGTGTGGCAGCGAAGAACAGAACTTATCTTACCCTAATGGGGACGAGAACATTGTTGTTTTCATTATTCGGTCTTAGGTGCCAGATAAATGCCGTAGATGCAGTCTGGATAGTAGGTTGTCAAACAAGATTGTTCCAAGATGATGACAGTCTCTTGTGCCTGCTGAGAAGTATTGGATACTATCTTGAAGGGATTTGTGTTTAGGATTGGATGTTTGGTGAGGGTATATAACGTTGTAGTCCTTTTCTAAGCCGGCTTCAATGGAGGGGAGATCGCATTTGACAGTCCAATCTGTTATTATAATTTATTTGAAGGCTAGCCCAGTTCCATTATGTCTTTCCTGGACCCCAAAGAGCTGCATGGCACCTTAAGCATGAGGATGATGAACAGAAAGGGATGAGATTGTCACAAAGAGGTAGGAGGGGAGATGATAGTTAATACCCATTGGGTCCTAGAGACTACTACTTGAATAGACGGAAAACATATTGCTGAAACGGGAAGTCGCCCTTCAACGGGCCTTGCCTATGCATTATCATCCTTTACCAATCGAAACAAGTACTTGGTAGGGTCCTGGGATAGTAGCACACCCATAAATATCAACGTCTTCAGGTCGGTGGTCTCTCTCACTAAGGTACATCACAACAAGGAAGTATGCTGTTCGATTTTTTTGCTATTAACTACCTTCCACCTCGTTCTTTCTGCATTGACACACAAAATTGTGCCCATATATAGCGGTCCTTATATAATAGTACTAGTGTATATAAACCCCGCAATGTCAAGACATCTTGTCCGCAGCTAGCCGGGTTTCCAACACAGCTACCCCGGATATTTCTGGCGAATACGGGGTAACGCTTAGAGGCGGGGATGGCACTATTTGGTCCCTGCGTCCACGAACTTTTCCAGATCAGGGGATGGACGATGCCCATTGGACACGAGGAAGCCAATTCTGGCAAATTTCTGGACTAGTAAGTATAAGTACTATTCCACCCCGGCCATGAGAATACTAATACTACTTGTGGGGTGAGTGATATTCCCCGCAAAACCGGAATTGTATATGTAAGAGAAACTGACGATATGAGTTTCCATGACCAATTGATTAAGAAAGCGTGATTCCATTCCGCCTTTATCCGGATTCTCTGAGCACATTACTGATGACGAGCGGTATGCAATGGCGACCTGAGATGGATTCGGGGGTGTAAAATGCCTCGTCTTGTTGAGAGCGGTTTATGTCATGTTGAGAACGTTCTTGAGCTCCTTTGAAGCTTAAGCAGCCAACTTTAACTAATTAATCATAGCAAGGTATCCCAATCCAGAAACAATGGCGAGTAAGAACAAGTAAATAAGTAGTAAGTAATAGAGTGGATGAGCAGCCCGTCGCATCCGTTCGATAAGCCAGTGTAACGTTGGATCTCCGACGAGGGTGACGGGCCAACCAGAAGTCACCCGGGGACCGGCAGGGTTACACAGGCGGACCTTAAACAGGAAGTGGAAAGGCTGGGCATTCCTGGAATCGACGGAGGAATCCCCTTCCAATGCAAAATTACACTGCCATGTATCACTCTTATCACGAGCAATGCCACAATCATGCTTAATCAAGGCAGTGCCTGATGTTCTCCTGCCGGTGTTGCCCGGCATTGTGACACTTGAACTTGCAGCTTTGTTCTGGATGACCTCAAGGAAGGGATAGATTGATACCCGCGGAAGTTTAACTGTCAAATCACGGTGGATCAGATTCCTGCAGAATCGGGAAAGCCGTGGTTCACGGCAAGTGCAAGTCTGGGTTACGTCTTCGAGTGTCTCCACTGCATGCATGCGACATCCTGAACAACCCCCCCTCCCCAACGAGGCTGGCTGTTCGGAAGGTCGTGCGGCTCCATGGCAATAACGCAATTTCTTTGCAATGTGCCTTTAACTCGGCTCCTCCAGGCAATCACTTTGTTTCCTCTCTCTTCCTCGTCCCGCAGCTCCTCCTCTCCTTCCTCATAGTTATAACGAGCAGGCTGAGGTTAATAGGGAGCCTGTCTCTTTCTCCATTGCACGGGCTCAAGTGCTACAACTCGAGCACTTCGTTCTGTACTCTGCTCGAGCAGTAACGCCGTCATCATGAGATCTTCAGAGATCTATCCGGCGCCCCCCACGGTGGCCGACCAGGAGCTGTGGGAAGAGAAGGAAGTGTCAACTGAACAGAGCTCTCTCGAAGTCGGAGAGAACAAAGACCTCGCTCTTCAGCAGACACAAGATGCCTTTGGGAATGAAGAGTTTGCGGAGGTCAAGTACAAGATCCTCAAGTGGTGGTATGCAAGCCATTGTACTACATATCTCAACATTGTTCCTGACGTCTATCTAGGCAATGCGGCCTGCTCATGGTGGCTGAAACAGTCTCCCTGGGGGTGCTGTCCTTGCCTGCTGCCGTTGCCGGCTTGGGTTTAGTCCCGTAGGTGCATGCAACCTCCTGTGAGGTATCTGTCACTGACATCACCACCTCCAGCTCGGTGATCATCCTGGTCTGCCTGGGTGGCCTGGCCACCTACACGGGCTATGTGATCGGCCAGTTCAAATGGAGGTATCCGCACGTTTGCAACATGGCTGATGCGGGCGAGGTGCTTGCTGGCCGCTTTGGCCGTGAGCTGTTGGGATTTGCCCAGATCATCTTCCTCATCTTCATCATGGCCAGCCACCTGCTAACCTTCACAATTGCCATGAATGCCTTAACTGACCATGGCACGTGCTCCATCGTCTTTGGAGTGGTGGGCCTGGTTGTCTCTTTCGCGTGCTCGTTGCCGCGCACTCTGGAAAAGATGTCCTGGCTCTCCTTAATTTGTAAGAAATCCAAACTTGTATCGTGTAGAGCGACGCTGACTATAGCCAGCTTTCATTAGCATCTTGTCATCTGTGTTCATCACAATGATCGGGGTGGGTATATCACACCCTGGAAAGGTAATTGAAGCAACGGTCAGAACCGACTTAATCCACGGCTTCACCGCGGTGGCCAATATCGTCTTTGCATTTTGTTAGTATCCGCTGCCTAAGTCGCTTTGATTGTCAAGCTAATCCTGTTATAGCTGGACATGCTGCATTCTTCAGCCTTGCAGCGGAATTGAAAAATCCAGCCGACTATCCCAAAGCCTTGATGCTGTTGCAGAGCGTCGATATGACCCTCTATCTCGTTGCAGCCGTCGTAATCTACTGCTATGGGGGAGCCACAGTTACTTCTCCCGCACTGGGATCCGCCAGCACGGTTGTGTCCAAAGTTGCTTATGGCATTGCGCTTCCGACAGTATGTTGCAACTCCGTATAACAGTGCTAGTTTCTGACAACCATACAGATCATCATCGCCGGCGTCATCAACGGACATGTGTCTGCCAAATCCGTCTATGTGCGTATCTTCCGTGGCACTGACCACATGCATAAGCGCACCTGGACTGCTGTGGGCTCTTGGACCGCAATTGTCCTCGCATTGTGGGTGCTCGCCTGGATCATTGCGGAAGCGATTCCAGTGTTCAATAAGTTGCTGAGCTTGGTTGTATGTCTTACACCCTGGTCCCAATCGCACTTGTACAAGTCAAGGACAACCTAACAATATGCAGACTGCGCTCTTCGCCAGTTGGTTCACTTTCGGCCTGAGCGCGATCTTCTGGTTCTACATGAACTATGGCCGATGGTTCTCGTCTCCGAAGAAATTCGCCCTCTCTGCTGTCAACCTGCTTGCTCTGGCAGTTGGATGTTGTCTGGTATGTATATCCACCACTGATCCAAACCAGTCTACTCACATATACAGTGCGGTCTTGGGCTCTATGTCTCCGGAAAGGCCATCCACGACGATCCCCACCATGCCAGTTTCACCTGCATGAGTACTGTCTAATGTGTGATGAGGTTATGTCAATTGTCGGTTTGCTTACGATAGATTGGGAATCTGGCGTTTGCAGGTCGACTTTGGTTACGATCATTATGAAGTCCTGGTACGAACAAAAAGGCGTCCTGTATATAAACTTGTAAATACATTATGCGCACGATCGATATCGATAAAAGCATGACAAGCATGAGGCTAACGCCAACCGACTCCAGTGTCTTGACCATGAACGTAACTCCAGTCCCACCATGCGTCAAAGCAAAGTACTAAATGCCGCAGATATAACACAACAGACAATGTAGCCGACTTGAAAGACGACAAAGTCTCAGGAAAGTAATCACTAGAAATAGGAAGAGATGTAATGATAAGAATGAATAAAATGGTATATGTGAACCGTCCACCGACAGAACTAAGAGACCTTAATAGATCAAGTAGAATAAAAGTATAAAGAAGTAGAAAAGAAAAAGAAAATAGTAATGAAAAGAGAAGCAGAAGAATGAAACAAACCACTCTTCAACGCCATCCATAGTGTACCATACCGAACCAAGCCAAACCAAATCAAACCCACTCACTCCAGTAATTCCCTTAATAGGTAGAAAGAAGGGAAACAGAACACCAGTAATCTAATGCATTCATGCAATCTACCCCGTCTCCCCGCGTCCACTCGCTCTCTTCATCCTTCGCCTCTTCCGTCGACACGAATCGATCGCCTCGGGCGTGAGAATCTCCGCAGGGAGCTCGAACTCGCGCTCTTCAATCTCGGGAATAGGTTGTCCAAAGGCTAAGCGGGTTCGACCTTTCCGGGCTGGTCCGGAGAGGGCTAGTTCGCGAAGATGGGGTTTCGAGTAGAAGGAGGTGAAGGGTTTGGTGGGTTCGGGGGGTATTAGTTCTTCTGCTGGTGGTGGTGGTGGCGGAGGGGCTATATTGGAGGCGGTGGCTTTGTGTTTGGTGGAGGATGATGGTTTGGTTAGTTTCTTGCCTGTTGAGGTACTTGTGGTGGTAGGGTTTGTGGTGTTTGTTGTGGTTGTTGTAGTGGCGGATCTTGCTTCCTGGTGTAGTTGTCTTGCTGCCCAGGCGTCGACGTCGTTGGGGTCTGGGGGATCTCCGCCGCAGCTTTGGGCGTCGGATAACGGGGTGGTGCCATCTTCTGCGTCGCCATTGGTGGATGTGGCTGTTGTCTCTGGGGAGTGGTCCTTTTTGCTACTGCTGGCGGTGGTGGGTGGGACGGGCTCTTCCTCGGCTGGTTTGTCCTTTTCTGACTTGCGACGCTTTTCTTCTTCCCTCCAGATTTTGAACTTCTGTAGGACGGCGGAGATTTCCCGGATGAAGTAGGTGCGTTTAGACTCGAAGTGTTTGCGCTCGGGGTCGCTGATCAGTCCGGTGATTCCCATGACGCGCAGCCAGTCGTGGCCTTGGAGGTCATCCAGGAGACGATCTAAGTTTTGCTTTTCGTGCTGGGCGCGGTCGCGCTCGATGTTGCGCAGTTGCTTTTCTTGTCGCTCATTGCGTCGGTGCGGACGGAAGTAGGTTTCTTCGCTGAGAGGGTCGGGAGAGGTTGTGGTGGAATCTTCGGCGGTGGGAGGTATGGGTGGAGAGGTAGAAGGATCGGGAAGGGTGATTATTTCGCAGTTGTGGAGGTTCAAGAGAGGGTTTCCAAAGGGTGTATCGGTATCAGAAATGGGGTCGGAGGATGGTATGAGCGGTTCGGAGAGGTCGTCGAGGAGTTTGATGGTGGTATTTCCCGCAAGAAACTCTATGCATGCCAATTTGTCAGCCGAATAATCAAGATGTTCTTCTGCAGTCTTACCGGTCTTTGGCGGCTCCATACTGAGGAGCTCTTCGTAGTTGGGAAAGTAGAGCGCCAGCTCGCTGCGCGCGCGGGAGCCACCATCGTGAGAGCGGAGGGAGCGCCGTTGCTCGCGCCCGGTGGAGGGCTGCTCGGTCGGAACTGTCGGCTGCTGTGGGGTCGCATCCGGAGCAGGCTGAGACGGTTTGGATGCTGTCGAGGCCGATGTAGGCTGCTGTATAGGCGTTGCAGCTGCCTCAGGCTCGGGGTCAGCGGCGGCAGTTGAGCGGCGCGGGCGACGGGCGGAAGAGGAGGCGGCGGTGGTGACGGCGGAGGGTGTCCCCGCCGGGGCGACCCTCCGCGAGACCGACGAGTTGGCCGTCGCGGAGGGGGAAATGGTATCTAATGGGTCTGGCGATTCGCGACCGACAGGAAGGAAATATGATGTGATCGTGGGGGTGGAATCATTGCGGAGAATGCGACGGGGATTCGGTCGCGGAGTGGCCGGTGACGACGATGTGGGATTATTGCTGGCCAGCGGGCGGCGCGTCGAGGTCCGCCGGCGCAGGGGATGATGAGACGAGAGTTTGTAGGGTGTGGCAGCCGAGGAGGATGAGTTTTCCGTCGTGGTGGTGTCCAGCAGATCGGGGGAGCTTTTGCGACGACGCGATGACGATTGAGTCTGGAGACGAGCTCGCTTTGCTGGTGGCTCGGAGTCCGGCTGGTCGGGGGAATGGCCGTGATGAGGATCTCGTCGCAGGGAGACACGGACAGGCATCAGGGTGGTGGAGGTCATTCGGGAGGATCGAGGGGGGAGAGAGGAATTGAGACGTGGGGGGAAAAAGAGGTCAGGAGGGATGCGTGCACGGCATGTCAGGGCCAGTCGGGGGCGATTCGGAGGATTGAAGTTAGTAGGATGAAGCAACTCGAGAATCGCAGCTGCAGGCCTGGATGATGTTCCGGATTGGGGAGGAGTTGAAAGTTGTATCTTTACGGATACCGCAGGAGGTATGTCTCAGTACCTGACAGGACCTGTGTTACCGTTATGGTGTACGATACATGTCACAACGATACCTCACTTGACTAGCATACATACATACATCTCAACTTATACATATTTACTTCTTCCTCTCCTTTCTCTTCTGCATCAACTTCTCCCGTGAAGCACTTCAATCTCATATCCATCCCGTTCAACTTCTTTTTCCGGCTCACTGTTCATTTCTCCGAGGAACCAATTCTCCGGCGCCTACCCCATTCCTCTACCATAATGTCTCCCTGCACGACGTGGGGGTGGGAGCTACCCTGACTTGCCATAGGAGGGGATCTGCTGGAGAAGAGTGTGGGGTGCGTGGGGGTTTTTGGCTGGATTGTTTTCTGCTCGACGCTGTCTGGATGGAGTCAACCGGCTCAATGTCCGACTCTCTCCAAACTTGACTGGAACTGTTTCCCCTCTTAGCCACCCACTGGCTATTTTTTTACTTTCTTATAACATGGCAACGACATCCTCATTGCTTTCCATCTATCCTCCTTCTCCTTCTCCTCCTTCCTCTTCCCCCGCATTCACCCCATCCACCACCACCACTTTCTATACTTCCCTCACCCTCACCACCACACCTACTACCCCAGATTGATCACCGACCCAATCACCACCTCCACAATGGCCATTACCCCCCGCCCCCTCAAACCCGGCATCTACGTCCCAACCGTCGCCTTCTTCACCTCTCCCAACGAAGACCTCGACCTGACCACCACCGCCCAACACGCCACCTACCTAGCCCAAGCCGGCGTGACGGGTCTAGTCGTGCAAGGCAGCAACGGCGAAGCCGTCCACCTCAGCCGTGAAGAACGCAACCTGATCACCTCCACCACCCGACAGGCACTCGACACCCACGCGCCCTCCGCCCCGCTCATCGTCGGCTGCGGCGCCGCCTCCACCCGCGAGACCATCCAACTGTGCCAAGACGCCGCCGCCTCCGGAGGCGACTATACCCTAATCCTCCCTCCCTCATACTACAAATCCCTCCTCTCTCCCAAAGACCTCCTCGACCACTTCCGTCTCGTCGCCTCCGCCTCTCCCATCCCCATCCTGGTATACAACTTCCCCGGCGCCTCCTCGGGCCTGGACCTCTCCTCAGACGACATCCTCGCCTTGGCGGAACACCCGAACATCGTCGGCGTGAAGCTGACCTGTGGAAACACGGGTAAATTGGCGCGTATTGCTGCTGCCGCTGAACCTGGTTTTCTGACCTTTGGTGGCTCCGCCGACTTCACGCTCCAGACGCTGGTGGCAGGCGGTCATGGAGTGATTGGTGGCGTGGCTAATCTGATTCCGAGGTTGAGTGTCCGTGTGATGGAGCTGTATCAGGCTGGTCAGGTCCAGGAGGCCCAGCGGTTGCAGGCTATTGTGGCGCGTGCGGACTGGCAGGCGATTAAGGGTGGGTTCGTGGCCGTCAAGAGTGCCTTGCAGACGTACCGTGGATATGGAGCGTTGCCGAGACGGCCTTGTGTGGTGCCCTCGGAGGAGCAGGCGACGGCGTGGAAGGATTCGTTTGCGGAGGCTATGGAGTTGGAGAGGCAGTTGGAGAAGCAGGCTTAGCTTTCACTCTGTATCTACCTACCTACCTACCTACCCTACTATACCATTCCATACCAGGTTGAAATACAGGCAAACGCAATCAATATTCATCCCGAGCTACTCACTTCCACTTCTGCTACATACCATCATCATCCTCATCATCTATACAACCGGCAACACCAAATAAGAATCAAACCCCTCCCCACAATGAACCTCATGCACCTGCTCCTCCACCTCCCCTCCCGATCCCCCCTCCCCTTCCACCGGATGATCAAATTTCACCTCCGGATAACACAAATCACGCCCCGCCACTCTCAGCATAATCCCCTCCCCAGCCCCAAACACCATCCCTATCGGCCACAACGTAATATCAATCGGCACGATCTTCCCGGCGGGTATCATCTCCGCGCGATCATGTCTATACACGATCTCGTGCTCCGTCGAGAGCGTCTCGTCGCGCGTGACGGCGTGAGACGCACGCAGGAACCCCTGTGGCCCGAGCGTCTTGGCTGTGTTGACGTTGGGGACGGCGTCGACGGGCACGGGACACGGGTAGTTGAGGTGTTCGAGGAGTTCGCCGGTCGTGGAGATCTTGCGGATCTGCACGATGATGTCCATGTCTGTGTGGTGGGGGGTGGAGAGCCATAGGTGGACGCGGGGGTACCCGGCTATTTGGGTGGGGGTGGGGAAGTGGAGGGTGAAGTCCTGTTGTTTTGTTAGGATGGGGTTCGAGGGAAGGGGGTATGAGTAGGAGGAGTGAGTGGGATGGAACGTACGGAAGTGCCATGGCGGGCGGAATGAGTTGTTGAGGTGACTGTGTCTGGGAGAGAGGGTTGGAGGGTCTTGGTTGATGCGTTGAGGTAGAATTTCTTGAGCTCCTGCCGGGTTAATGGGTAGGCTTGCTCGGGGCGTTCGAGTATGGTGGGCACGGAGCTGCCTTCGAAGCTTAGGAGGGAGAGGCGCACGGGTGGTGTGCTTTCCCAGTCGTTGGACGTGTTCTTGAGATAGCGGTCGAAGAAACGGGAGAGGTCGTCGACCATCTCCGGTCGGTATAGATCGTACCATTCTTGGTATGGGTGTACGCGGAGCCATTTGCGGGTGCTTTTGGCGGTGCGGAAGGTTTCGAAGGAGCCACGCGTGTGCAGCATCGAGGAGTAGGAGGCGAGGATGTAGAGGGGGATGTCGCCGATGCGTTCGGTGTGGATGCGTTTGCTCTGCCAGTAGGCGTCGTCGAAGGGTCGTTTGCTTAGCATGGCGGGCATGTTCTCGGCGGTTCCGTGACCGGCGAATCCGGTGAGGATTAGTTTGTGGAAAGCCTCGTTGTGCTTCATGCCGCCGCGCATGGTTAGGTCTCGGTATAGGTCGGTGAAGCCTTCCCAGGGAGCGAGGGCTTTGAGGGCAGGATGCTCGAGTCGCGAGGCAAAGTTGACCTGTGCGATGGAGAGCCACGAGTTGCCTGCCATCCCAACGGAGCCATTGCACCAGGGTTGCTTGGACAGCCAGTCGATTGTGTCATAGATGTCTTCGGCTTCTTGTTGACCCCAGAAGGTGATGTTGCCTTCGGAGTTGCCGGCGCCGCGGGCGTCGATGTTGATGATGGCGTAGCCGCGAGGCACCCATTCGGCGGGATCGGGGGCTTCGAACTTCTCATAACCTGAGGTCCGGCTCTTCTCGAGCCCAGCGCGGAAGGGCGCCATGCTGTCGTAGCTCTGCGGACCGGTGCCTGTCTTGCCATAGGGACTCCATGGGATGATGGCTGGGACGGGGCTTGCGTCGGAGTCGACAGGACGAAAGATATCTGTGTATATCTTGATGCCGTCGCGGAGGGTAATGGCTATATCCTGCTCGAACAGCACGTCTGTGTGGAATGCGCGATGGCCTGGAGATCGCACATGTCCTGCGGAAAGGACTGTCTTCTTGCCTGGGTGGAAGCCTTGATAATTGTAGGCAGGATGCACTGCCGGTGGTGTGAGGGGAAACCATTCGAGGTCGGGAAAGGTAGCACGAATCTTCTCTTCGGTAGTAGTCATGATGTCTGATTCAAACGAGGTCTAGGGTCTGGGAGTTTGGTAGCATCTGGTGGTCCGCTAGCAGTTTATATAAATCAGCGGATGGAGACTATAGATCCCCGCATCCCCACTGCCGGTCCCCCACATTCGGGACGCAGCATCGACGCATCATTCGAGTATATAGAGAGGTATGAGGTGATTGGTGTGGGAACTGCTTCATGGGTTTGAACGCGACCGACAACTGCCTGGCATTTGTCCAAAATCGAGTGGTAGAAGGACTGGCATTTGCCGAATTGCAGCCATTGTCCAAGCGATGACATCTATATTATTTGCCTCGGGAAGTGGGAAAGGCAAGTGGGAACACATCCACAGGCTCAGAACAAACCCTGAATGGATGAGCAGCAGGGAAGAAGATGGAGAAAGAGAGCGCAAGAGTGGGGAAGTGCGGAGTTGATGGAGGACTGGCCTGGCTGGGGTCAAGTGACTTGCGCCTGACTCAGTTGAAGAACAAACATCCTTGAATCGAACATCTACCACAGCAAGTTGAACACACTACTCCATACCCAAGGTATACAACTCCGGGACCTCCTCATCGTTCCCCATTTTTCTCTCGCCCAAGAACGCCCGCACGCCCACTCCCTCCCTCCAGCCCTGCATATCCACCGGCTCCTCAATCGACTTCACTGACGCCTGCCACAGTGCCCTCGCATCTCGACACTGATGCACCGCGCCCACCCCATCGATGTCGAAGATGGTCTTGCCGCGCCAGTCCTTAGTTTTCCGGGGCCGTTCGATCGTGTCATCTGCAGCACAGAGGATGCCCTATCATGGTCAGATTTGAGCAAAGCAAAAGGTAGACAAGTACAATGAACGAAAACCCACCTGAGCAATATAGTCAAAGCAATGCGCCCAATGTACCTTGTCATGCATCATGTTGCCCGAATGCGCCTGACTGGTTGAGTTGATTTTGTTTTCCGTCGTCTCGGGGAAGACAATCGCCCGCAGCACAATCAGACAGTGCAGTTGATGGAACATTGATATGCCCCAGCTGAGGAGTTTCTCCTCTTTCTTCTCGTCAGCGGTGAGATGGATACGGTCGGGGATTGTATGAGATAGAATGCCTCCGCCACCGGGCGGGAGGAGGATGGATTCCCATGTCTGGACTTCGTCCGAGTCGTTGACTGTCCGTTCGAGTTCAGGGCGCTCGTTGAA